GGACCCGTCGACGAGAGAGGTAAAACAGTTTCGGCGAAGGTGAAGCGTACCCTACCCTTTCCTTCTTTCCCTTGTAGACGAAGTGAAGGCGGGGAACTGGGCTGGTTTCACGACCAACGAGTTTGAGCTTGGCGGGAGAGGCTCCAGGCGCTACATCCCCGTCGAAATAAAGGTGAGCAAACACGCGCGTGTACCCTAGCGTGGGGTGCTAAGCAAGGCAGCATATATCTATATATAGAGAGATGGATGATGGCAGCATTGGGTTTGGGCTCTGCAATAATTTAACTACGTACATGAACAGACGAAGGAACTTTCCCCAAGCAGGTAGGTAGATGGTACCTTGCTGTTGCACGTCGCATCGCAAGACGCGTAGACTACTCGGCACAGTCCGGGCACGTACAGAGCGCACCTGCTTCTGGAGGCAGGGTGCTGGCTGTGACTGGGGCTCGTCTCATCACACACACTCTCCTACACTTACTTACAGTCACGAGGAACAGTAGTTCCATCGCTGTCCTCTGCGGCATGTATGTAGACTATGATATTGCATGCGAAGTTTTGCTGTTGCCACCCGGATATTGTGAACGCCATCCCGGCGGTGGTACTACCCTACGGCTCATGTAGAGCAGACTCTCCCCATCTCTTCGGAAACAGAAACCGTATGTATGTATTCTCCTTTCAGTCTCGGATGTTCTCTCTGTGACTGATGCTCGTAGCTCACTTGCAGTGTTGCTCCAAAACAGGACGAACTCTTTTTACTTCGCAAGTTGGATACGCATTAGTCACACATCCTGCACTGATGACCTGTGTTCACGCTGCTGATCACAACGTCTAGTTCTGCACAACACGAATCGTCTCCCCTAACCGCTGTTTTTTTACGGTTTCCTGACAGGTTTTGGCGGTGCTTCGCGTCCTGGGAAGAGGAAGCTATTTTGACGATGTCGCGGAGGTCAGGGGCATGGGCGAGGCCATGGTGAACCGCCTGTTCCATTAGTTCACGGAAAGATTCGCGCGTGAGTTTTTCCGGTGTGGGTGCGCATGCCGAATGAAGACGAGCTCAAGGAGATCATGAAAGCATATGACGAGGTCGGAATGTCGGGTGCCATGGGGTCGATGGATGGGACGCACATTGAGTGGACGGTGTGTCCTTATTCCAAACGCGCGTCGTTCACGGGCAAGGAAGGCTACCCTACCATAGTGTACAACGTCGCCGTCAGCCACGACATGCGTGTTTTGTCGTGTACGCGNTCGTCGCCGTCAGCCACGACATGTGTGTTTTGTCGTGTACGCGGGGTTTCCCCGGGGCACAGAACGACAAGTCCATCATCAAGTTCGATAAGTTCGCGATGGCGGTTCGAGACGGCTGGTACAAGGACGTGGAGTACACTCTGAAGGGTTAGGACGGAGAGGATGTCAAGGAGAAAGGGCCATGGTTGATAGTGGACGGCGGATATCACAACGTGAGCGGGCCCGTGTTTTGCACAACGGACAACAGGCAGTAGTGCCGATTTTCTTTCTCTTCATCCGGTGCGCGCGGATGGGTTGGTGTTCAACTTAAATTACCAGGAATAAACGTACGTGTAGGAACACGAGACAAACGATCGCGTATCAACGTGTCTTCCATAAAAGGATGGTATGCCCATGTCATCTAGTTTGATTTGTTTTCTCCAAGTGCTGTGTCACGGAACGTTGTTGTTGTTACTGTTTTTGTTGTTGGTGGTGGTGGTGTTGTTGTTTTCACATCAAAAATCGCCCCGGTCTCTCTATCCAGTACCCCCTTCTGTCCCAATCTCTGCGTGCTGATCTAACACTATCACTTCACGCGGTCAATTCCCGTGGTCACAGGCTAACTTGCTACCCAACAGGAGGTATACAAAAAATAAAATGGAGACCCGAACGGAACGTTGCTGTTGTTTTATTTCGGGAGTGCCTTTCATGTGTATAATTGCACCCGTTCGCGTCTGTAGTTTATCTTGTTCGCTGGTTCGGTTAGGTGGTGTTTTTTTTTTTGTGGATGATAAGCAAAACTACGGTACGCACTAGCATGGACAAAAGCCAGTGACGCCCAGCGGGGCGAAAATGCCGAGACCCCGGGTCTTAATCTTTTTTGTAGGGGACGAGACTTTGCTGATGCGTGAAGACTTTGTCGAATCTTGCGGCTAGTAACTCAGGAGTTCGGGCTGCTCTCTAGGTCTGTATGTTTGTGTGGTCCTCTATCCTCTGTCATGGTTTTCACCTCTTCATTGGATACACTTCCTGCGACAGGCTCCGTGAGAGAGGAATTTTTTGTTCGGGAAATAAATGCGTAGTACTATAGACGGCTTTGTGGCACCGTCTGGTCAGGCAGCGGAAAGTTGATGACCGAACACCTTGGTTGTGTTTGGGTACCCGCAATTATTTTTTCCCGAACACCTTGTATGTGTAAACGTTCTTGTCTGCCTGTCTGTACGCGAGTTCCGCAAGCTGTTGGCCCTTACCCCGCCAGAACGCGTAGGTAGGTGGTGGGGGAGACTGAACCAGGTCCCCGCCCCCACCTCTCTGTCCATTCGGTATTTCAAGGTCTTCGTCTCCGCGGAACGTGATGGTAGTTGATGTGCACTATGCCATATTTGACGTTTAATTTGAACGTATGGTATGCTGTTCCGCGGTATTCTACTGGAGTTCCGATATGCGTCTTCAAGTCATGTGTGGTACATCCGCCCTGGCATCCCTAACGTTAATCCCTATCGCCCACTCACCCGCCATCAATCCCTCTTTGCTTAGTGGAGGCAGCTCCAGAGTCCGATCAGGGCGCCATCAAAAAAGGCCAAGGCAGGATTCAAGAGGCAACTCGAGAGCGTCCGCCAGGACTCAGAGTGCTGCTTCGGCGTCTTAAAGGGCCAGTTCAGAATTTTGAAGATGGGTTTCCTCTACAGGAAGAGAGANTCGCCCACTCACCCGCCATCAATCCCTCTTTGCTTAGTGGAGGCAGCTCCAGAGTCCGATCAGGGCGCCATCAAAAAAGGCCAAGGCAGGATTCAAGAGGCAACTCGAGAGCGTCCGCCAGGACTCAGAGTGCTGCTTCGGCGTCTTAAAGGGCCAGTTCAGAATTTTGAAGATGGGTTTCCTCTACAGGAAGAGAGAGAGAATTGACAACATGTTCTTCACGTGCGTCATACTGCACAACATGCTTCTCGCCTACGAAGGGATCGAGCTGCTGGAGGCGGACTGCGACTGGGCCGGAGCGGACGGCAACCTCGACAACCACATCGTGCACCCTGACGCGCGGCGGATGGCGATCACGCACGAGGCTGAGGTTGTGGAGTGGGACGACGACTTCCTCGAACTGAGGCAGAAGTTGGTGACCAACTTTGCTTACCGATGGGGGCAGGGGACCGTTGGGTGGAAAAGGTCGTGATGGACTCTTGGCAAATCACATATTGCTATGTAGGTGTCCTTTGGCGGGGAGCTGGGGGTGGGGGCGTGATGACGGCGATGTCCGTCCCTCCGACTTTACGTTAACTTCTGGGTCCTCTATGATTTGAGTTTAGTTTCGCTGGAGGGTGGGCGGTCTCGTGTGGTCGTTACTTTCCCCGCTGAGCTATGAATTGGGTACGATGGCGCCAAATCACTTCGCCTCTGGATGTAGGTTTTTCTGTACGTCGTCTTTCGAGTGCGTGTTTGTNTGGTGACCAACTTTGCTTACCGATGGGGGCAGGGGACCGTTGGGTGGAAAAGGTCGTGATGGACTCTTGGCAAATCACATATTGCTATGTAGGTGTCCTTTGGCGGGGAGCTGGGGGTGGGGGCGTGATGACGGCGATGTCCGTCCCTCCGACTTTACGTTAACTTCTGGGTCCTCTATGATTTGAGTTTAGTTTCGCTGGAGGGTGGGCGGTCTCGTGTGGTCGTTACTTTCCCCGCTGAGCTATGAATTGGGTACGATGGCGCCAAATCACTTCGCCTCTGGATGTAGGTTTTTCTGTACGTCGTCTTTCGAGTGCGTGTTTGTCCCCAGAAGTTCTCTGGTATGTGGAATCCCAGTCTACTGGCAGTATTTTGGAATCTTGCCCTGAGTGTAGCAATTGAATGTGGTCGTGGTTTTGACTCACGTTTGTGCCGGAGTAATCGCCGCTCTTTGCGCAACACGTTTCCGACCAGGTTTGTGGTGCGAAGTTTTAGTGGGGGAGGGGTAGATGGGGGGCGTTGGGGCTTGAGGTCACCGCTGTCAAGAACATCCTTCGAGTTTTAGGGGAACTAACGGTGATCAATCACGATGCACATCGTATCGAAGCAACGCAGCGTAGGTGGAAACCCCAGGAACGGTGTCACCGCGACGAGGGTGCCTTCAGAAGTGACACGCGTATCGCAGCGGTCGGTGCGATCTCTCGTTTGTTTGTCTTTTGCTTCTAATGGAGGTCGCCCCTAGAACACGGGCCGTTGCATAAGTCAGGCGCTACAGCTTGAATATTAAAATTTTGAAGACCCGGCATTCTCACGAGAGGAACTGCATCATGGCACACGGTACCTCCAAAGCACTCACTTGGCCCCCAAGGACCCACCAATTGTTCGTTGTGCCCAGTGCCACACTTGGCAACCTGGCACCCCCCAAGTTAAGGCACGTTCGCGAGAATTCTCGGTCGTTCCACACAGAACTACGTCAAGATTTTACTCGCGTCAAATCCCTCACTATCCCTAACCTAAACCGCGAACCTTCCACGCTATCGAGAACACACCTCTCAAACGCCTCCTCCCCATGATTGCTTGTTAGCTTCCTAAGACACCCATGTCATTCGGAATCGAACTGACTCTGACGAACAGCCTCCGAATAAATGCGGTCAGGCCAAGCTCCTGGTGCCATGACTCAACAGCGTCTCATCACGCACGACGACACCGAAACAGAAAACACGACGCCGATATCATCACTGATCGAATTCGAATTTCATTTATATTTCACGGTGTTCTTCGGTTGCATCAACTCCGCTGCACAATGCATCTCCAGCGGGTAAACCCCAATAATTATGTCAGGAAACATCGACATGGGATCAACCTTCCTTTGGAATACGGCATAAGTACCCAACTGCGGAAATGTTGACGTTACCTACCAGCCGGTAAACGCCGGTTCATTTGCAATACTGTGCACAATAACAAGTGCATCAATCACCAACAAGCTTCCCACAGCAAATCATAAACCCACTGGCAAGCAATGTACCGACACGAGTCGGAAGCACTGAATCCTCGACATTCCTAACCAGAAAATAGGGGGAACCCTCTCCCGCAGAGACTACATAGGCAGGAGGTGGTTACCCATCTCTGAAATCCTAACAGCCTTGCGCGACATTTCGGTCGAAAACAAAAGTGTCCAACGTTGGAGAAAACGTTACCGTTGAACAGTACTCCATGCAGAGAAGAAGGAGTGTTCAGGTATTTTGGACCACCAGTAATTCTGTGCAGTGGAAGCCATCCCCTTGCCATTGCCAAAAAAAAAAAAGAGAGGGAGAATATATGTTCTCCTTCTCGCTCGACCTCCTGACTCATACGTGAACACTTCGCACAGCAGGCGTTTCAAGCGAAGCCACTGACGATTGCCGCGGCTCAACATAAGTACACGAATATAGCGGCAACATTTTTTTTTCCTTCGACAAAACCACCGCCCGAGGAAACACGTCGCGCACAACTCGCACAAAAGTGCTCGGCGTACGTGTTGCCGTCAACCTAGAGTCAGTTGGCTGGTTTTTGGGCTGCGAAAGCTGCCATGTATGCTGCAGCTGCACCCGCCACCTGGCCACCGTTGGGGAATTGGTTCGTGATGGCTTCCCAAGCAAGAGCTCTTGTGTTTGCTCGATGGGTACCCGCGGCGGCAGCAACACCCCCAACGGCCATGGTTCCGTCCCCCATACCCATGCCGCCGCCTGCAGCGCCCACGGAAGCAACTCAGCCAGCACCGTTTGTGACGGCATGAGAAGCACCCGCGGCAGCAGACGCACCCCCTGCGGCGGTTCCGTCCCCCGTCCCCATGCCGCCGCCTGCAGCGCTCACGGAAACAACGCCAACACCGTTCGCGGCGGCACCAGCGGTACCCGCTGAAGCATCCAAAGCCTCGCCGGAATCGTCCTCCACCGTCACGCCGCCCGCAGACTCGAAGTGGTCGCACATATTGTCGAAGTCCTCGCCGCACTCCCAATATCTCTTGCCCTGGGGTGGCGGTACTTCGGGAGGGCGGGGGGGAGGAACACGTGGCGAGGTCAGTTGAGCTCTTGCGTTTGCGATACACCCAGATGCCCAAAACGAAGTTACGAAACTGATCAGGCCGGACTCTGGGACGAACGACCAACACGTCGCCTGATGAGCACCACAAACCTCCACGCAGGTACCCTATTATCGCCACACAACAACGCCACGATTGTACTCACTCGAAGAACCATAATTTTGTACGGAACGCGGTGTTTATTGCACCGCGGCCTTTTCGGCCCGCCTGCAGCGCCCACTCCCTCGCTGCCACCCCCACAGCCCCTGCCGGAACTGCCCACGGAAGCTTCCTTGCGACATCCTTCACCGTCGATGTCCATTACAAACTCGTCATTGCCCCCACCATCCGCGTCACTATCCGAACTGTCTACCGCCAAAACGTTGGCGGCATTGTTGGCGGCAGCGGCAGCGGCAGCGGCGGGTCCGCTGGACGTAGCCCTCCATGAGGCAAAATGCTTTGCAGCTGCACCCGTCGTAGCTGCCGATCCTGGACCTCCTCTAACCCTGGCATGGTTGCGTGCGGCTTGAACTGCGCCTGCCCGTACGGAGGCAGTCTCCTGGGAGGCTTCGTTGTCGCTCCGGTTTCCGTTCGTGCCTCCGCTGAGATCCACGTCAACGACGTCGCCCCTCTCACCGGCGCCGCCACCATGTACGCCTTCCGTGACGTCCACGCCCCCAGAGGTGGGGACTCCAGCGGCACCGGGACCGCTACCACCAACCGTCGTCATCTATGACTCGAGTATAGCGACCCTTTGCATAAGATACTCTTTTGCCTTGGCCTCGTTGCCCATATCGCGATACAGCTTCTCCAACGTTTCCAGGTTGGCAAGTTTTTCCTTTCTCCGGTCTGCTTCCGACCCTTCCTCCATGGTACGGACAATTCCTGCTACCTGCTGCGTCACCTGCAGCAGAACGGCGGAGCTCTCTTGGGCAAGCCTGAGCTGTTCCTGCAACCCTTCTTGGTTGCCCCGAGCTCTCTTTATCTCTTCCCGGTTCCTTTCCTTCGTGGCCCTCCTACCGAGGACCTCGTTGGCATTAGACAAGCACTTCATGACTCTCTTACTCTTGACGGCCGATCTCCCTCCCCCAGACGGCCCGTCACTGCTGTTGGCCCTTTTGTTTCCATTGGATTTTCCCGCGTTAGATGTTGGAACCATTCTTAGAGTGCCCTCGCCGGTGTCGCCGCTGGAGTTTCCCTGTAAGGAGCTTGCGGGAGATGCGTATCCACTCGCATCCTCGTCTTCAAATTCGCCGCCGCCGCCGTCGTTATCGTCTTCGCTGATGTCTCCGTCACTTAATCTTTCAAGGTCAGGGCCGTTGGAGGACATAAACGATATGTCCTCGTCCGCGTGCATGCCCAGCGGTCCGTAAAACAACCACGAAAGCCAATGGGCAGGGAGGAAATTCTCGTTAAGCTCCTTGTTGACGAGGTCCTCACGTTTGGGGATAGCCGGTACCATGACCCTTTCCGCTAATTTCGGGTTTTTTGTCTTCCCTTCCTCTCCAGCGCCTCCCTCTGCTTTTTGCGGGTTTCCTTCATCTTCTTGGTGGCGGCCTCTTCTACCTGGTCGTTCCACACCTTCTCGATTACCTCCAGCATGACGTCGCCGTTCTGTTGTCCAGATTTCGGCTGCCCCTGCTCGTTTGTCGCCCTTCACAAATATGTACAACCTTGGAGGATGAAACAGCCGAAGAAGCATGAAATGAGGGGGTATTAAGTCAAGGGTGCCACCGACACTTGCCCAACGAACAACCACAGGTGCAGCCGAGAACCTCCACAAAGTTTGAGCAGGAAGTGTGTTCAATTTTCAAAGCCACTGAAAAAAGAGTTTTTCAAGGAGTAATCTTCAATGACAGGGCGGTGTTATTGTGGATTACACAAACCTCATGCCTCCCAGAGTGTTGGGAAAAAAAATGACAAAAACGCAACAGCGTCTACTGTCGCTCCTGAGCACTACGAGCCGAACCCCAGGAGTGTCAACTTCACCGCCAAAGTAAAAGCAAGGTTCCACAGGCAAAGCAACCAGCAACCGGTAACGCAGGACATCCCCCATTCATACACGTGTAACATTACCACAGCAGGACGTGCGTCGACTGTACCCGGTTCAAAAATGACCGCAAAAAACAGAACCCAGGGATATCAAACGTACTTGTTGTGATGCACTGTGTAGTTCTTTGACTCGCGCCGCATGTCCTGACCCCGCTTCCAGCATTTGTCCGATTTCGGATCAAAGAGGCTATGATTCTCTGCGTAGAAAACAGCGGGCAAGCACGAAGACACGGGTGGTGGAGAGGAGGACAGAGAGGGAGAGGTGAGGAGAGAGGGACGTCCGCAGGCAGATAGGCAGACAGATGGACAGTAGTAGGGGGAGGGAAAATACGACGTATTTACCTAAACTCGACTGATTTATAAACCTACGACAAGAGAGGGAGGGAGAGAGGATACAAACAGAGAGGGAGAAAGGGACAGGTTAACAGAGGCAAGGACGATTACAACGCTTGAACTGGTACCGCGTAGTCTACCCTTGCCGTATCTGACAGCAGCTTTTTTTTTTCTCGCGAGGTTTGTTTCTTGCCGCCACCGGCACACATACAGCGTTACCTCACGCGGGAGCCTACTGCGGTACCTACAAGTGGCTTGGAGGGCGGTTAGAGTAGGTCGCCGCCGACAAACACGCACACACACAAAAAAAAAAGTTTCAAATGGCATGTTTGAGGACTACTTCATGGTTCGGTGCCCAGGCTGCTCGACACAGCTCACCGACGCACCGGAAACGTGCATTACAACAAGGCTACGCACGCTATGCCCTGTTGGGCTTCATATACCGCCGAGCAGGAATTGAACGTCAGACGGAACAGAGCACAGCTTCGAGCTGATCATGACGAAACAATCCGTCGAACACACACGCAACTTGTGTGTTCCACGACACGGCCCAACCAAGCCTTCTCGCACAGTCCAAGAAGTTAGCTCGACATCCATTTTTTGGCAACGATAGTTCTCGGCATTTGATCAATCAGGGATATGTGTAGTGCCAACGCTCCCGCTACTCACTGTCTTTGGCGGAGACTTGCCCTAGCTCTCGCGCGTCTAGACCGTGAGGGATGCTGAATCCACACGTTTCGCGAAAAAACAGCACGGCCCCAGGCGCCGCATACGTCCGCATGCAGTCTGCAGCATGTGCATGTTGTTCAGGGAGAGGCATTTCTCCCTTATCTCTCACAGACTGGTTGGCGTAGAACACGGCCGGGCTTTGCAATAGACGGCGTTGCTGATGCGTGAACGCCTCGGTCCCATGTTTCGGTTCCGAGCCGATGAATCGTTTCCACGACCAATCGACCTCGGGGTATGGGTGTTGCCCTCCCACCTTCACACCCCATCCGTCGATTGGCTCACATTTGCTCAGATCACGAGGCAAGTTTGCCATGGTAAGCCGTTAGGGTTAGTGCGGTCCGCCCTACACCAGAAGAAGGACTTTGCAACAGCATCGCGCCCTAAGTTGAATTTTCGCTGCTCCGTGCCTCGAAACTACACCCCCACTCTTGGGTTTTTTCCAATTGTCCCATAACTTGGTCCGCGCGAGAATCCCAAATTGGAATTCCGGCGCCGGAATTTGCTTTTTCCGATGGCGCGATTCCAAAATCGGAATCCTTCCATAATAACAGGCCTAAGAAATAACGCACACCCCTGCGCCAAGACTCCGATATGTGCGATCCTAACATTGAAAACCACAGGGGATAGCAGCACTTCGCGTGTATGGTATTGCTGCAAAACGATCACCACACAACCGACAGACAAGCTGTTATAGTAGCTGCACACACAAACGAGTCTCGGGGAATTGCCACCACAACAGCTCCGTGGCGGAGAAATACCGGCGGAAATCGGGAAAATGCCCGGGACGGAGCTGCGGGCTCGACCGCACGCAACGCGCGGCTACGATGTCGGAGGGTGCAAGCGCGGGACCTGCCGACGCCTCACAGGCCTCACAAGCCTCACAGGCTAGTGCTGGCGGTCCTTCCTCTGCGGATCAGGGAGCTGCCGCTGCGGACTCTAAGCCAACCGGCGAGGCTATCGATGAGATGCTAGCCGTCAACGACCCCGTTAAAAACAGCAACGGCAAACACGCGTACCTGGAGCCCAACTTCCCGATCGAGCGGTCAGGCAGTGGGAGGGAAAGGGAGCTACCCCATCCGGTTCAAACTGAAGGCGGCGGCCTACACACGGGAGATCTGCCCGTGCGACAGTCAACCGGTGGGAAACAACGGCGCGGCGAAAGTTCTCCAGGTGCCTCGGAAGCGTATCATCGAGTGGCTGAAGCAGGAGGAGCAGCTCAGGGAGAAGGTCAGCGCCAACCCCAAGCTTTCGAAGGCCAAGCAGGTTCACAGCGGAGGGAAAGCTTCGATAGTCGACGCCGAACAAGCCCTTGTGGACTACATCAACGAGCGGCACAAGCAGCACCGCGGTTGTGGTAATCGGGAGGTGATGAACAAGCTGCTCGAGCTGAAGCCTGACGCCCTTGGCGGGGTGCCGGCGAACGCGAAACCGGAGGAGGCGCTGGCTTTCAAGGTCAAATTCAACTCCTGGTACCAACGGTTCCGCAAGCGGAATGGGTTCAGAATCCGCCGGCGTACCAGCGTGGGCCAGAAACTGCCGAAGGGGTACGAGGGTATGGCGTGGGCGACGGTGATGAAGCTGCGCGAGGCTCTCGTAAAGCGCGCCGGTGAGATCTACGCTCGGCGCCACCCGCCGGCACATGACGAGAGCCCCATCAAAGGGGAGGATCTGACTTCCGAGCAGCTGGCGTCTGTGGAAGCGGAGGTTTTCGAGGAAGTCGGCATCATGGGCCAGACGCCAGTCCAGCACGAGGTGCCGGTGGCGATCACTCTGGAGAAGACTGGTGCGAAGGATGCTCGCATCAGCACAGGAGGTGAGGGTGAGCTAATATTTTTGCCAAAATTTTGTGTGGTGTGCGGATTTTTTGTCGTTGGAAAATTTTTGAAGACACGTTTTTTTTTGCGTGCCGGTACACGGTGCGATGTAGCTCTATCGGTAGACACAAGAGGGTTGCTACCTTTTTCTGCGGGATTATTCTACACTTCCTTTCTCATGGCATCCAAACTATCAACCAACTTAGTTTTCGAAACGTCCGGTACCGTTTGCATCCATTGTATCAACCATACACCGCAGTCCTCGCAGAAATATTCAACACTCTAATCCCCCCCCCCTCCCCTCGCGTTGATTTTTTCCCCCTCCCCTCAGGCAAAGAGAAGGAACGCTTCACGCTCGTCCTGGCTGTCATGGCGGACGGCAAAAAGGTTTCGCCGCGCAACATCTTCAAGGGCACGCCGTTCTTCCCCCCGACCATGAGCGGCAAGGGCAAGAGCACCCTGCCGCGGAAGAACTCCGTCGCGTGGGAGATCCATCCTGCGAACCGCGCCAAGCACGGCTACCCTGCCAACGGAATGTCCTTCGGCGTGCAGGAGAAGAGCTGGAGTGACCAGCGGGAGTGCAACGGGTGGATCTCGGGCAGCTGAAAGCTCCGTCCCAACAACGGCAGCATCGTCCAGCAGCGCCCGTGCATCCTGGTGCTGGACGACTTCAAGTGCCACAAGGACGAGGGTTTCATCGCCGCCCTCAAGAGAGACGCCAACACCATCGTCCTCTTCATCCCAGGCGGGCTGATGCGCTTGCTCCAACCGCTCGACCGCATGCTCAACTAGCAGGTGAAGCGGCTGCTGTGGGGCAAGTACACCGCCTACAGCGCGTCGGCGGTCGCAGACTCCCGGTCGGGGAAGCTGAAGTCACCGGAGGGTGGGGTCGTCTCTACGTGGTGCAAGGAAGCGCGGGAGTCCATCAGCCCCGAGACGGTAAAGACTTGCTTCAAGATCTGCGGTCTCACGCTCGCGCTCGACGGCAGCGAAGACCACGCCTGGTGCGAGCACAACTTCGGGAAATACCGCGACCTTCTCAAGGAGCAGCACGCCGTGTGGCTTGCTGAGCACCCCGACGTGACTCTCCGGCCGCTCGAGCTGCCGAAGGTACCAGGGGGGTTCGACTCCAACCCCATCCCGGCTGCTCAGAAGGAGGTCGAGGGAAAGCTGCTGCCCTACGTCGCTCGTGAGAGCGACAGCGAGGTGGAGGTCTTGGAGGGCGACAGCGACGTGGAAGTCGTGGAGGGGCAGGGGGGCGGGGACGCCGCAGGAGAAGTAGTCGAACTTTGAATCATAGTTGTTTGGGATTGCCAGTGAGATTGGATGTTTTTGCGATGGTAGGGGCGCGGGCACGAAGTAGAGTTCAACCCGCCTAGGAAGTACAGTAGTAGGACGTTGGTAGCTCGTAGTGGTAGTTTGGTGTGATTTTTTACTTCGTTTTTGGTTTCATCTGCGTTTAGAATTGTTGAGTGGATGCCGTTTGTCGATTTGCCGATCTTGATTCTTCAGAACGAAAAGAAGAGAACAAAGAGTACAAATACCACATTTTTGAACATCGTCATGGTGCCAAGGGCAGCAGTAGCAGTGGAGCACGCGAATCAAGCTCCCACAGTATCCGGAATTTCCAGCACAAGATGCTGGTGAAAGGGTATCACCTACAGCCAAACCTCACCGCACATATCGGCGTGTCCGCACAGTGTGCGGAGACGACGATACCTGTGCGATAATCTAGCAAATCATTCGGAACCCGTTTTTTTTTCCGCACACCCTGTGCCAAGACCCCGATATGCGCCAAGACCCCAATATGCGCCAAGACCCCGATGATTACGGTACTCAGAACAAATTCTCAGATAGAAATCATAATCGCGTTCAACTCAATGACCAGTTCAAATAACCTTCGGAAGCACAACGGCTTCAACCATGACTCATCGAAACATGCCAAACCCTTCCTCCAATACACCGACATACCAGTACAAAAGCAAAGTCATCCCAAACGTGTTCGGAAACAAGTGTCTAGTAAAACGTTCATCAAAGCTGATGCGGCTTCGATTCCTCCGTCTCAGCTAATCCAACAGCCCCCCCGCCGGGATACCTCATATAAATGCAGCTAATATCCATTCAATGTTCAATTCCATATCAACTCCGCAGGTAAAACGCGGAATATGATCGATCAAAACATGAACTACACAAATCCCAATAATCAACACCATCAATTCCATCCGCAAGGGAAACGCGGAAAATCCAAACGTGAACTACCAAACAAACCTAATGTCAGAAATACTGCTTGTTGTGCTGCGGCGGACAGCATGCTATCACATCCCCCCCCCCATGCTTTCCGACAGCAGTGCAAACATCAGGCGCGATTCCGCAACATCCAGCATGACATTTCTGCATTCCAACTCCATCATGAATACAACTCCAAACCGAAGCAAGAAAACAACAAACATCAAAGAAAAAGACGTCACACGTCCAGCACATACCGGTCTGCCGTACAGGCCTACATGGGAAGGAAAATTGGTACTCCGCAAGGGTTGGCTCGTTGGGTACCGGTACATCGGAGGGACAGAGAAATGGTGCGTGCCCCACAACGTCTTACCCAGCACGTCGCACGCCAAGCCAACGCCTACGCATATCAGTATCACCAGAAAAACATAGCGGTAATTACCATAGAGAATGTTATCCCAACAAAGAAGGAAAAAACAAAGTGGAGCAAACCATACGCGGAAACTATTCTACCACCGCCATTTGAGATATTTTCCTGACAAACAACAGCCCCCGGGCCGGAACATTCCATTCGCCTCCCAAAACAAAAAGCAATGATGTACCATGAAATTTCCTGCAATTTGGCCGTAGAAATTAGTGTCCCTGCAAGGTAAAACGCGAGCGGACATCTCTACCGAACAAAACCAAAGCAAATCCAAACCTTCGAATGCGCTTACGATAGGAAAAGCGATTTGCAGACATTCAAACAACGGTGAAAAGTGCATCAGTTGTATTGGGATCTGAAGACAACACAAAAACAACAGATTGCACAACACCAAATCAAAACAAAAAGAACACGCACTCAAACATCACGTGCCTTGGCGAGATTAAGACCTCAGCACAAGTCGCGCTGCTTGCCGTCATTGTTGGACTCGCCCGATCCTCCGAACTCCCTTCTCCGCTTCACGGTCCTCCTGCCGCTGCTCCAGTCGCGAACACGGNACAACACAAAAACAACAGATTGCACAACACCAAATCAAAACAAAAAGAACACGCACTCAAACATCACGTGCCTTGGCGAGATTAAGACCTCAGCACAAGTCGCGCTGCTTGCCGTCATTGTTGGACTCGCCCGATCCTCCGAACTCCCTTCTCCGCTTCACGGTCCTCCTGCCGCTGCTCCAGTCGCGAACACGGGCGCCCCGGCCGTTGCCCCCGCGACATCTTTCCACGGTCGAACGGGGTGTCCAACCCCATCACCGGCCCCACGCTCCCAGCCTTCAGCCGGTACAGCTTCCCCGGGTCGAAGGGGCGCAGCAGTGCCCGAAACCAGGCCACATCCATCCCCTCTGCCTTGTCATTGCTACTGCTGCCGCTTCTGGTGCTGGTGCCGCTGGTGCCGCTGCCGCCGCTGCTGCCGGGGCCACCGACCAGGTCGTCCACCCCGGGATCGTTGGTGCCGCGCCCCCCCGAAGACACGGTGCCGGGATCGAAAGGGTGCGTGGACGCCCCCCTCTCGCTACAGACGCTGTCATCCAAGCAGTCATCAACCTCAAATGCGCACCAACCGCCATCATCGCTGCCGTCGCCGATGCCGTTGACCACCGCTTCTCCGTTGCTGGCCGCCCCCCGAACCGATATGGTGGGGGAAACGTCACCGACGGTTGCCATCGTAGCGGTCGGTGCCGCAGCCGCGGTCGCGGGTGGTGCCGCCACCGATGTCGCCACTCGAGCCGCCGATGCCACCGCTGTAGCCACCTGCGCGGGCTCTCGAGCCATTCTCCCCGCCGCCGCAGCGGGAGAAAGAACACCGTCAGCTGCCGCCGCCGTCGCCGCTGGAACCGCCGTCGATGCCGACGCTCTAACCACCAACGCGGGCGCTCTGGTCGTTCTCCCCGCCACCGTCGCGGAGATAACAGTGTCGCCGGGCACCGCCGCCGTCGCCGCTGGAACCGCCGCCGATGCCGCTGCTCCAGCTGCCGCCGCGAGCCCTCCGGGCGCTTCCCCCGCCGTCGCTGCGAGGGAAACACTACCGCCGCCGTAGGTCGCCGCCGTCGCCTCCGGAGCTGCTGCCGATGCCGCCGCTCCTGCCGCCATTGCAGGGACCCCCGCCATTCCCCCCGCCGACGTCGCTGCGAGGGAAACACTACCGCCGCCGTAGGTCGCCGTAGTGGCCTCTGGAGCTGCTACCGATGCCGCCGCTCCTGCCACCACTCCAGGGACCCCGGCCATTNCGCTTCCCCCGCCGTCGCTGCGAGGGAAACACTACCGCCGCCGTAGGTCGCCGCCGTCGCCTCCGGAGCTGCTGCCGATGCCGCCGCTCCTGCCGCCATTGCAGGGACCCCCGCCATTCCCCCCGCCGACGTCGCTGCGAGGGAAACACTACCGCCGCCGTAGGTCGCCGTAGTGGCCTCTGGAGCTGCTACCGATGCCGCCGCTCCTGCCACCACTGCAGGGACCCCGGCCATTCCCCCCGTCGCCGTCGCGGGGAGGATACCACCGCCAGAGGTCGCCGTAGTGGCCTCTGGAGCTGCTGCCGATGCCGCCGCTCCTGCTGCCACCGCGGGGACTCCGGCCACCTCCGCCGCCGCCGCCGCCGCGGGGGGAACATTGTCACCGGAGACCGCCGCCGTCGCCGCTGGAGCTGCCACCGATGCCGCTGTTCCTGCTGCCACCGCGGGGACTCCGGCCATCCCCCCTGCCGCCGCCGGAACACTGCCATCGGAGATCGCCGCCGTTGCCGCTGGAGCTGCCGCCGATGCCGCTGCTTCTACCGCCACCGCGAGGACTCCGGCCATCCCCCCCGTCGCCGCTGCGGGGGAAACACTGCCGCCAGAGGCCGCTGCCGTCGCTGCTGAAGCCGCTGTCAATGCTGCGGCTCCTGCCGCCACCGCGGGGACTCCGGCCAGCCCCCCCGCCGCCGCCGCGGGGGAAACACTGCCACCGGATATCACCGCCGTCGCCGCCGTCGCCGCTGTCGCCGCTGGAGCTCCCGCCGATGCCGCCGCTCCAGTCGCCATTGCGGGCGCTCCTGCCATCCTTCCCGACGCCACTGCGGGGAAAACACGATCATCGGGCGCCGCCGTCGTCGCCGCTGAAATCGCCGCCCATGCCGCCGCTCTAGCCCGCCTCATCTCCGCGGGACTCGCAGGGGGCGAAGGCAGTGGATCGACGGGGGTTACCAGGATGTAGTTGCCAAGGACGATTTTGGTGAACTGCACTTGCCCACCCACAGTCTTCGCCCCCTGCCACTTCAGGACGATGTCGTACCTTTCCTGTATCCGTGAGAAAGACAGAAGGTCGAGCGCCAAACCCGGCAGAGCACCAACACCCATGAGCACCAAACCCGGCACAACACTAACACCTGTGAGCGTCACGCACACATCTCTTTGGCAATGGAAAACCACATCCAGGTCGCCAAAGAGTTTAACCGGAACTCGTCTTCCGTCGGAGAGCATGAGCAACTGTTCCTGCGGGCGCGGTAGACGCCTGTTGTCCACCTTGTCCTCCGAGCGGGCCACGTGGATCTTGGCACTGGTGTGTCCCAGGAAAACCGTAGCACCCGGGCGATTCGGGAAAAGGGCGGGCATCGTACGCACAAGTTGTTGCTGCTGCGCATCTGCTGCTGCGGCTGTTGGTAAGTCTGACAAATAGCACCACCACGAGACCACTGCTGCAACTGCGGTCGCGGCTGGGGTTGGGCACTACATGCCTGCTGTTGACGTTGTATTTGTTGCTGCGGGTGGTGGGCAACACGCAGCTGGCAGTGGGCGTTCCAGCGCTGTTTTTGTTGTGGTTGCTGCTGCCTGAGCCTCTCCGCCTCATACTTGGAAGTCTCCATAACTCTAAGCGCCTTCACCAGCTTCTCCGCCTCCGACTCGGCAGCTCGTAGCTTCTTTGCTGCGTTGCGCGACCTCTCCTCCACAGCTCTAAGCTTCTCTGCTGCGTTGCGCGATCACTCCTCCATCTTCGTGCGCACAACCGCTGTAGTCTCCTCCGTGCGAAATCTCCACCTATTCCGCCGCTTCTCTCCGCTATGATATACACTTGAAAAATATCCCGTACCTTGCTGTCCCAGCCCTGAAGCGTTGTCCCAGCAATACACCCTCCGCTGTCCCGGTCCCCGATGGCCACCGTCCCAGCTATACACTACCCGCTGCCGTGCTGTCCCGTCCCCGTTGGCCACGTCCCAGCTTGGCTATATAGAACGTATTCGCCGCCCCATTGGCCCGGCACATACAGCTCAGACGCCAATACCCACTACAAACACCAGACCNCTGCCGTGCTGTCCCGTCCCCGTTGGCCACGTCCCAGCTTGGCTATATAGAACGTATTCGCCGCCCCATTGGCCCGGCACATACAGCTCAGACGCCAATACCCACTACAAACACCAGACCATACAATATATTGTGCTTGGGTGCGGTAGCTCGTCAGAGGCCGAAAGAGTAAGAAGGTTGACTCAAGACCTTGTTGCTTTGAGTGTGAGAGACATGCGGTAGGCAACACCATCGCCGTGCAGCATGCCCATCAACACATTTCATCCGCGTATCCCCCCGGAGGCCCCGTAGACAGTACTCTGCCGAGCACCCCAAACAACGCGTGTTATATTAGCTTTGCTTATTTAGACGTCGCACGTAACAGAGCAAGAGAGACAGAGGGAGGGAGACCGAGAGCGAGGGAGACAGAGGGAATGGGAAAGGGGGCGAAAGGGAGACAAAGGGAGAGAAAGAGGGGGAGAGAGCATTCGTTCTCGCGGGGTATTCTTCGGTACGCAGAAACCTCGAGAGTGTTCAAGGGTACTTGTATTGACCACGAAGACATTCCGGGATGTGTATGTGCGTGAGTCTATCTGGCGGTCGACGCGGAAGTTGGTAGATTCGAGAGGAAAATAGCACCCGCACCCTTCGTTAGGTTGGGGGGGGGGGGG